CTCATCACAGCATAACAACGATAAAGGTAATTCAAATGTCATATTCGTTTTCTTTTGTGATGATAAACGATTTTGTTAAAAATTTTATTTTTTTTCCCTATGTATTGTTGTGGTGTATAAAACAGATATAAAACCTAATAGAAGTTAGTGTGAGGTGGTTACCATTAAAGTTTCTTTGGAGAAAAAAAACATGAATTGTAACTTGAATTGAAGCAAAATGTCTCTAAGTGAATGATTTCGAGATCAACTGGGTTTTTTTTCTTAATCATGAGAAATACTTTCTATGAAGTTCTACGTTTACATTCTACTAGGAAAATGATTTTCTGAGTTCTAGTGTGAACGGAACAAAAACTCAGTTGCATTCAATTTACCATAATAATTATTAAGCTTCACTTACCTGTAAGGATCATCAGATGTTTTTGCCTCTACATAAAAACGCATCTGTAAGGATTTATATTTTCACGCAGGTAATATTGTAGTGAACGAGAACACAGGTGGGGCAACCGGATAGTATTTAACGAAAATTACAGAGTTACTCAGTAAAATTGGAAAACCATATCGTAAATCGTTCATTTGCAAAATAACAGTTCATCATATCGAACTGGACTGTTCCTGTTGCCAAACATCAATCCATTGTCACTATTCATGCGTTTCATACAAATTCCATTGTGTTCTAACTCTTCCTTTCTCGATCTTCCCCCATCTTCTGTTGCCAGACATTACGTTGACGCTCACGTCATATACTACTTATAAGTAGCTCGCACCACAGCACCACAATATTCCTGATCAGATTATCTCTAGTTTGCCACTTAATAACGTTTTCATTAAAGCAGACTAGGAGCAGGTTAATCTAAGCGACGAGTCCTACATAGGATTAAACGAATGTATTGTATTCCTCTGATAGCCATTATCCGGATTTGTAAACAAATAGTAATATAGAGGCAATTAGCTCAGGATCCACATAATCACAAATGTAATCGATCAGTTGAAGTCATTTACATGAACAACGCAAAAGCATAAAACCTTATAAATAAAATTGATGATCATTTTACGAGTTAATAGAAGCCTAGATTCAGTAAATAACGCTTCGCCGTTGTGAGTTTGAGTCTCATTGTCAGCATCAACATGGATGTTGATATTTACAGTTGACTAACTTTAAATAGGAGTAAAAACACTTCTTGGATTACACTATTAGGTACCAATTAACTTCAGCTGACGTAGCAATACCTTAAAAACAAGTTTTAAAAAGGACTTGCTTTAGTGAGTTTTCTCAATTTTGCAAGGTTGTACAGATTTAGTTAACTTCAAGCTAATTCAAGACCTACTATAATATTCAAATGAATATTTCGCAGTTCAAATATAGTTTTTGAACTCACTGGCTTAATTTTACTAACTCAAAATAATCCGTCACTTTACTACTATGGAGAGTTGAGACAATATAACTCGCTCCACATTAAGAATTCAGAAGGTCAGTTGTGATTGGAGTCAGAATATATTTTTGGCAATCTCGTGGTATCGAAATAATACCAAGATCATGTCAACGTTTACAGACGAGACTATCAAGTGAGCGTGACTAAGTCCAGGGTCACAATGATAGGAAGATGTGTTTTTAGTACAGTTAAACAAAGGGGTACAGTAAAATAATCATTGGTGTGACTGGTTATAATAATAAATGTTTCCATTACACCAACCACGTTCTATTCATAAAAGTAAATCACTACACTACTACCATTGATAACTCTTATCTACGCTTATATGGAATCATATATAAATTAAAGTGAAAACAAAAGTATTTTGAAATTCATCTCAATTTGGGCCACGATCTCCGCATGTTTAGTTTCAATTGTTTTTATCAGATATGGGAATATTTTACTCAGCTGGATAGTTTAGTAAATTGTGATGAATAGAACTATTTGATTGCTAACATATTCTCTAATCACATTATCAGTTATCTTGTATGATACTAACTTTCAAACGACATACTAGTTTTAATACTAGTCAAATATATTTCTATACATATACTCTGTTACTTATTTTTATGATTCTTTCAGTGAGAAATCAAAACAACAATGATTCTTATCAAAATAACATAAACAGAAATAATTTGACAGAAGAGATAGCCTCTAAATCTATCTTCGAGACGGAATACATCAGCGAATGCCAAACGAAAGAGGAAAAAGAAAGAGAAGATCAAATAAACAAATTAATTAACGAAGGTGAATACATCAATCACAATAAAAAATTACTTTCAAAACTATAAAGATCGCCGATCGTTAACATGTATCTTGAACGGACGTTATAAGTTACATTTATACTACTGAATAATAGTAAGTAGTATAACACGAGGCATAAAAATAATTGATGAGGCTATCGATAAAGTAATATCTGTGGTGTATCACAAAAGAGAATGGTTTATATAGGCTCCGTTTTCGAAACCAGACAGTAAAATTATATTAACTGTTCAGGATGAAGTTACAGATACTTAATTAAAACCTGGAAAACTAATCAAGAATGCCAAAGAAACTGCATAACTATTTATAATTATTAAAGTTATTTTTCAACTTGCTCGTCTTATTGATCGACCTCATCTTAATTGTTAACCCATAGTATTTAAAATGAAATCTGGCATTTGACGGAGATCACGGGAGTTTATACAGTGCCCAGTCATTTATATATATGCGTTTTTCAGTAGGAATTAAATTCATTGATCTATAATCCGATGAGGATAAATTTCACACATTTATATGTGCCGTCTAAAATAAGTGCTCTCACATGTCACTTCAATAGCTTTTTTTTGCATTAGTCTATATTTTTTACTTTCGAGAACATGAGAGTTTCTTAAATTATAAATCTGTTTTCTGGAACATTTTTTAAGTGGAATGAGATGATAGATAATATTTGTAGCCCACCAAGGTGAGGATCTGAGGATGTTTAGTTCTATAATCTGGATGGTTTGGTCATGGAGTCTTCACTGTCTTTCTGGACATCATTAGCAGACACTTCAATAAGAAGTGAGTTATTAGAATGTCTCCACAACTGATTACGTACTTGTTCTGTTGACCGACAATTTGACCGGTTGTTTTCCGTTGGTGGGCGGTCGTTGTTTTTATATCATTTTTACTGCTTTCACCCTTGATCCTTTTCCCTATTAGATTGATAGATTGAATTAATATCGGCATGTCCATAGTTGACCACATACATTAATATGGAAGAAGCTAGATCATAGCGTTCACTCTCTCTAGTAGACAGGCTGATGAAGTGCTATTCACAATTAATATAATTGATTTTTTGGATGGTGTTTGGTTTATCTCCGTTTACCGTAGTGCTCTGCTTAATATTGATTACTCAGATTTTGTGGGTTTGTGTGCTAGTGACCTAAACAATCTGCTTCCGATCTCAGAGTTATTTTTCAAAAAGGCGTTGAATTATTCCTTAAATGACTTTTGCTGTTGGTCAATTATCAGTTAATACGTTGATATATATTCTCTTTTTAATATAGTGTTTTATTTTTATTTCTCTTCAATCTACTACACGGAAATTGATATACATTTACCTTCACAAGATAATCACTTAAATCAATTTGAGAATGAAAATGTATCATCATTCATTGATTCCATATTTAATTCATTCAATGGCAAATCAACATGCAATAACAAGAATTTCATAAAACGTAACATTGAAGTGAGAATATTGAATTTTTTTTATTTTCTTTGAATACGATAAGTTGATTAGTTTTAAAGTTTTTAAAGTTTTCCAATGAAAATCACTAATCCCAGAGACTTGGAAAAGTTTATCTGATGTATTGACAGTTACTTTAAAAAATCGGTCATTAATGAATAAAGCTTAAGTATCCAGTATATTTTTCAATCATGAGTGAAAATTATCAATTTGATAAGAGTTGGGACATTGTTGATAAAACAAACACCCTACACTCAAAATGCATAAGGTTTTCAAGGATTTTGTGGTGAATTTATGAAACCAATTTGCAGAGATCAAAATTTTATACAAAGTTAATTATACTATTCCATCCAATAAATAGATAAACTTAAATCACAAGAACTTTTTTCTATCAATTTAAAAGTAAATCAACTCTATATCCTTCAAATTATTACTTATTTTAAACAGTTTTCTTATCCTTCCCCCCTTCCTGTTGATCGAAAAAATCTTTGGATGTCTTCAGAAGTTAGTCTCTTCAACACCCTCGTTAATAATCGTCATATCCTCCTTGCATTATCATTGAAATGCTCAGCACGCTGAAAAATTATCTTTACTAGATTATCTTCCTGAGCATCTGGTTAATGCTTAACGAATTTCTTGACAGAGAGTTGTTTCTGTATTTCACAAAAACCTTGATGCCAATGAGACAGTTGAAGAGTTTAACTTTTGAAGGCTTCGAGAGTAGCAGTATAAGTGTATTACCGTAAATGGGAAATAATTTTAAGGTTATGGTTTGTTTGTATTGGTCTCATAGTGTGATTCTAAAAAGAATTTTTTTGGTGGAGTATTTAATTAACTAATCATGTTTGACAAGTTCAACATCCGTACTAGTCACTGTCAACTACTGATTAACTGACAATAGATAAAATCCAATTAGAAAGTGTTAAGACCATCAATAATTTCTCATTAACATTAGTAATATATCAACTAGTCTATCCAATAATACGGTATTTTTCTCCACATATCACTGCCATGATTAGACTTGATAGTTTCAAATAAATTGAGAATTGCGACAGAAAGTTAATCATAATAAAATAATTATACTTTTATGATGCCACTGTGTCAGTGTTAGGATATTCATCAAATATGCGAAGACACTTATTTTTAGAAGTCTAATTCTATTGATCGATTCCTACTGGTCAATTTTATGATCGTCCTAGATATCAATGTCACATACTCTAATGTTGCTTTTTATTGGTCATCTTAACTGTCAGTGTCACAGACTTCGATACTCTTTCCTATTCGACCTAAGTGTATCTGTAAAGCTATTCCATTCCTTCCTTCCTTCCTTCATCTCTACTGTACTCAACCCCATAAACAATTTCATCTAAAGGTGTTGTGTTCTGATATTTGGGAGATTTGGGAATAGTTTTCGGGGTAGTATTGGAATATCTGGATTAGGACGTCGGTAAGATTTGAATAGCTACTTAGCAGCATCGTAACAGTAAACTACAAATTTCTACTTACTAAGTTACCAACAAAATATAACTATTTCATATAGAATAGATAGGATGTGGCTAGTAGTGGAATCTAGGACGCACGTGTCGTCTTATATGGGACTCATCAGCTGGACATAACTACATCTCTTAGTTGATGCTCACTCAGGGGCTCTGTCCCAGTGACGTTTCACTCAAACGTCATCGCGTTGTCCACCCAGCAGCTGAGTCTAGATTGCCTCTTACTTCAACTTCGACTCTAAGATGCAGGTTCATTCAGCTGTCAGGGAAACACGCGTCCTGGATTCCGGTGTTATATATTCTAATTAAATTTTGTCATAATGGCTAATATCGAGGCAATCCGCATGTAGAATGCCTATATATCAACCAAGGCTGATCAAACTTCAGTCAAACTATCAACAATGGAACAATCTAGAAACATTTCAAATTGGAATAAGTATTTTAATATTATTAATTAGGGCTCTTTCTGTTTTCAAACGATATTCCACTACCTATTTTAATATTCACTTTGAAAGATGTGAACTGAATAAAGAATTACTACTAAAAAATCCTGTACATATTTCTAAAATCATTCTGAGCTGAATATCTATTTAGTCTTTGATATTAAAAATCAATCTTTTCATGTTGAATTTATGTATCTGAATAGTTGGTATCCCGTTGGAAAGATATAATTCCAATGACAGATGAAGATAAAGCAAGAATTGAAGAGATCTTGGCAGATGATGATGATGATGACAAAATGCAAATTGTGAAACAGAATGATACACAACAAAATGAATTTCATGTTAGTGTAGTAAATAGTTTTGTTTTTCAATGTTTTACTGTAGTATATAATAATTTAAAGGAGAATTGTTTCTATAGAATAGATTATTCATATACAATGTGATGAATAAACACCAATAGTATATTCGTAAGATAAGAAATAAGAGTATTTTAGGCTTAAATTTGTGAAGATAGTAAACAGAGTTAGAATGTATTGTGTTTAAAAAGTGAATCAGTTAGTTATCCAGGCTAAAAAGAAATAGTGATCTAAATTTTCTAAAACCATTTTTATTGTTCAATGAAGTAATTCATTTTCGAAAAGTTCTATACTGATAATAAACATGCACTCACTAATAATTAACTTCCAGATGCAATTCCTGGTGTCCAAATGACAAGTCATGACCAGTCAAGTTCGTTTATGTTGAATGTGCTAAGGTTATTCACCGGAGACTATGGAAGATTGGTTGGAATACATTGAGTATGTGGAAGTTAGACGTGTACTCAACGGATCAAAAGTCCTGAGTTCAACTAGTATGTGTAGATGCTTAGATATGAACTGCTTGGGTGTCTCATACTAGGGCGAAACACCTGTCAAGTACTTTTAGGTTTTCACTGGTAGCCTAACTAAGGACAGTTCTCGAATTCAGCTGTTGAAATTCTATACTCTTCATATTTGTATCCTTACACTAACCAATAAGTAGACAGCCTTTGGGTAACCAATGTATGACAAGGATGAGAGAATTGCTGCTGTATGCTCGAAGGACGATCCAATACTGACTTACAAATTTCAGATAGAAGTTTGTGCTGATGATGTTGTTCAGAAGAAGAATGAAAGCTCCACAACCAAAACAACCAGCTCAGAGAACGAAACACCACCACAAGTTTGATTGTTTGCACATGATGCAACAAAACCTCGAATACAAATAAAATAGTTTTTTGCTAAAAATCTTATTTTTTCTTACTTTCAATCATAATTACATCTGCTTTAAATTTGCTTTAAATTTCACTTTAGTTTAATGAATCTAGTGATTTATCACTTCAGAATACTGCTAGTTTACCATCAATAGACAACATGCCTAGTATACTACATTTGTATTCAAATGCAACTAAACAAAATGGGACATATTCAATACTAAATAATAATAATAATGATGACAATGACCACAATGCCCAAAACAATCAGTCTGATTCAGTTAATCAATTAATGTTGAAAGCAAATCATCAACATGTTGTAGATAGTGAAATACTTGGAATTTTATCTCGTCTTAATGAAATCGATAAACAACTTGAACAATTTCAAATTCAAAGAAAAGCAGACAGTGGAAATATATCGGAAATATCGTCTTATTTAAGATCAACTGAAGAAGAAAACCAGGTAATACTTTGAAAATGCTTTTAAAATAATATCCTATTACATATCATACCATATCATATCGATATGGCTTGTGATTGTGATGTTGGCGCGGACGAGTTTCAAACCTCATTAGAATTATCAGTTACTTCAAGATTTCAGTGTCAAGTAACACGACACTCAAATAAGATACTTTCTTTGGATTACACGTTAATCATGCTTCTATTGTCACGTGATCTGAGTATAGCTTCATCATTTTAATGCGCGTCATGATGGAAGTTAAGTTACCAATAATAGACAATCGACAATGTTTGGCTTCTGTAGTCAATCTTATTTTCTTTCAAAATTCTTTACTTATAATTCTTTTGGGAGTTGAAATAAAAATCTTTAGTGATTTTAAGAGAGAATCTGTTATGTGTAACACTTTTATTACATTTCGAAGACCAAAAGCTGTCACAAAAGGGAATATTTTCTTAACTGTAGTGTTACTGAATCTATTCAGCACCACCATTTTAGGTTAGTGTTCCTAATTTATGTCAATACAAGAGTTTACAAACACCTTCAAGGTTATTAGGAATGATGGTTATCAGTTTTGTCATATTGTAGTGGTTAGATTAGACTGATGTTTTAAAGAAATTATTTATTTAATAGGATTGGTTTGTTTTTGTGAATTTAGCTTTTCCCAAAATATTTCTTTTTTTACTGTATGAGTATTCGATAGTTTAAATTATCGAAACCTGAAATAAAGTCTCCTATAAATCAGATAATTAAGATTCATATCAGATTTACCACACTCTGTATTTGAATTCTAAACCACTACTCGATAATATTTGTTAGTTTGACATAAATCTATATTTCTAAAATTATTCAGCTAGATAGATTTTTCAGCTGAAATTTAACTTAATGAGAAACTGCATTTAAATTGGAACGACTAGTTTCACAGTATCATTGAAACCATTAATCGATCGATGTTAGACTGTCGTTGAAAAACTGAAATTACTGAGTGGCCATTTCTTCTTACTTTGGGCCTCTCGGCGGTACGTGCCCCGACCCTGTGAGCGGAAATAGAACCCGGGACTTTCCGCCCCGTGCAACTTTCGACCATTTATAACGAATATCATGCTATAAAGAAGCGGTCGTCTACTGCCTTCAGGTTTCCAATGGCGGTCTAACATTGATCGATTCATGATTCCACTGAAACTCAACAATTTCCACAACCCTATACTGACGATTATCAAATACTCACTAGTGTATAGCTTTGTAAGGGAAGCCGTGACCAGTGAGGTTCAACCGTGTCGAGTGTGAGGCACCCTACCGAAGATATTAGACGGTGGTCTCACAATATCATAGATTGATTGAAGTTGGACATTAAAATTGTCCGATGCTGGCTCTGTGGTTAAGATGTTAAAGATTCGCGCGCGAAATTGAGGGTCACAGGTTCTCTCTCCTCTCGCAAGGTCGTGTATGCGCACTGTTGAGCAGCCTTATAGTAAGAGGAAATAGTTGTCTAGTGATCTTAAGTTTCCAATGATGGTCTAACATTGACGATACATGATTTCAATGAAACTCATCATTCTCCATAACATTGGATTTAACAGTTTCACAGTAACTGGGAGCGGGAATTAATTTTGTATTATTCGTTGAAATTTGTTCAAATACAATTTGTTTTTTGACTAATGTAATGTATATTGTATTATATTAACTTAATGAAGATCCTAAGCGATCCTATACGTCCAGGAGAATATGCACTTAGTACCTATCAAGAAACTCGTGCTGTAAAAGAACGTCTCATTGAAATCGAAACTCAACTTGCTAAAATTCAAAAAACTAGTTTTGAAGAGGTAAGCTATTATGTAGAAAATCCTGATAATTTTATATCTATGTTTATGTTTTAAAAAACCAGTAATGATTGACCAGGTTCATTATAAATAATGAACAATTGAATATTTCATAGTTATTTAATAAATAAATTTTCAATAATCAATTAAAAACTCCAACTTGTAGCTTTTCAAAACAAGTCCGTATTGTTATTTCAATAGTATTGTTTTAAATCTCTATTTGTGAACCCAGCCATTCCTATTGCTTAGCACTTTCTCTGACATCAATACACTAGACAAGTTCCAAAGAATCAAAAACACGGCTGAACAGGAAAAGATTATATTCCAAATATCAAGGTTAAATGGGAGTAAGAAGCCGAAGCGAAGGCGAAATCGAAACAACGTTAGTATCTTTATAGTTTTTACATGAGATGCTTCTGGAATCTAATAATCCATGTGATCGACTAGCACTGATCGATTAGATCTAGCCAATCAGCGTACGAAAATTTTCTAGAATGCTCTCCAAGTATCGGTCAGGCGCTGATTGAATAGGAGTTAACCAACAAGCGACATTGTTTACTTTCAAATGCTTTATAAGAATACGTTTTATAGACAAATCATAAAAAGTTTAGGAATCCTTTTAAAATATTGCCTACGTATTAAAAAAAATGATCAGAACCATTAAAATGCTTGGGACGCTAATTTGTTTATTGCAATTTAAACCATAAGCAATAACTAAGCTTAAATATTTTGAATGAACTTATATTTTCTAAATGAATAATGTACCTTGTTTTGACTGAAAGACATCACTTTTGTCAAATAAAATTGAGGGTATAAACAATGGCTGAACTTTATTCGTCTCACCTACCTTCAATCTTTTCAAACTATCTACGATGAGCTTGAAAATAAATTAACTGGACAATTCGAATATCAGATTTTCTGTCAGAGTTTAATCTGTTTGTAGTATCCTAGGAATTTCAAAATTTACATATTAGACATCGCTTTCCTAAACAGTAATTTTGTAGGGTTTTAAGTCTAGAAAAAATTATTAAGTTGAATCCATTTTGTCATGCTTGATGCATTGTAAAGTGATATGTCCTCCTATTGATAAGCTTTATTGTGATATTTCTTTTACTGCCGTAAAATGCTTATCGATCAATTTTATTTTTTGTTTTCTATCCCTCCCTATCACCATCGACGTTCGTTCACATTTTTACTTCATTTCTATTATTGTTGCTGTTATTGTTGTTTTGTTATTTTGTCAATGTTTCAATATTTTCACGCTTTTATTTGTTAGCTAAGTGCAATTTTATTTTTAACATGTTACACAAAATTATGGAGCAATTCATCGAGCAATATTGAACAATTAACTGTTGATTTGAATGAATTAACGCCAAATGATTAATAGTGTTTATATTGATCATTGAATTTTTTTACACAATTTTGTTTATGTTTTTAATGAATGAAATAAAATGAATAAGCTATTTATACACATGAGATTATATTTTTTTATAGGCATGTTATGCAATCAGTCTTGAATGAATTATTTAAGAGTTTGCGTTTTGAAACAAAAGTTTTGTTCAATTAAACCAATGGAAATACTGATTTTTTAAAAAAAGGTTTGATCAGCCAATGAAATGCAGACATTCATGATGATTGGTTTATAGACTAATGGTAATGTGTGTGAGGCTAGGAATATTAGCCATTTTTTAAGGGTTTGGATGGATTACTTATATGATAGACTAATTTCTAATATATATTATATATATATATATATATATATATATATATATATATATATATATATATATATATATATATATAAATCAGTCAACAGTTCAGTGATGCAAATTATTTTGCATTAATTAAGTGCACACGGCTAACAGAGAATACTTTGCTGAGAATATGTAAAGGGAACCACACTTCCATATTGGTTTTTGACCTATCCAACTTCTTCACCCCATAAAATAGACCTTTAATTCCCTTTCCTTGGTTTTCATCTGATTAAAATCATTGTTGTTTGAAGTATATACTGTTATGTATAGCTGTACTGTGCTTAATCTGTCCTGTTTTGTTCAATTTTGTACTGTTGTTTCAAAATGCCTGATAATAAGATTGTTAATACTTGCTAAGCTTATACATAACAAAAACAAGTAAGTAAAACGTTGTCGTTACACACATTAGTCACTTAACTTTATAGAACCAGTTTACTTTTCTTATGGTATGTCATCATTAAAAACTTTAATTGATTTACTAGTAAATAAAATCAAAGCAAATGTATAATGCCCCCACATAAGTGATTGTTGTTAATGCACTTTACACAACATTTGTAAAATATTCTACACTTTTCTATCACTGATACAATAATAAAATTAATGTTTCATCAGGTATATATATGTATATATGTATATATACTTTGTTAGTACTTTTTTCAGCTACAATATAAATGAGTAAGTTAATGTACATGTGTTTGTTATGATGTTTTTCAATTTCAATTAAAAATAATCATAATAATTGTTTTTATCCAATATCATATATTTATTTCAACATTGAAAAGCAAACTTTTTCATTTTTTAAATGAATAAAGTGATAGAGTTATCTATTCCATTTATATGAATGAGTACTAGTTAACTATTTTTTTTTTCAAAGGATTTAAAACAACTCATGGTTTTCATTTTGTTTGAATTGAGTTTGCTTACAGAACTCTAAAATAAACTGCAGTTTAAGTTGACTATTGATATAACCATGTGTATCCAGTAGAATCCTCTATCAATGCCACAATGAATAAGAAAGCGAAGTAAATAACTTCAAAACAGTCAGAGAATCAGCATGTCTAGTTGTTAAGATTGCACAGGCAGAAAAATAATCTCAATGAGCATGAGGTATTTCACATGTCCCATTTAAGTGTCTTGCAGGTGAACCAGACCTTGATGACCTACATGTGTTACTGACAGATATAAATGCTAAAAGTGTATAGTCACCTTACAACTGGAACAATGGCCTTCTGTATTTTAACGTGAAAAGTACACACATCGTGTTCTTTTTATGCGTCAGATTCACACGATGGAATACCTTCAATTGTATTGTAACGTGTTTGCCCCAATGCCCACATACAATCGAAGTGAGATGTGAGGAAACAATGCAAATGGGGAACTTCAAATTGATTATAACATTGTGCTATAAGAACCCTACATTGTTTCATAAGTGAAGAGATACATACATACAGATTTGGTACCGAAATCGTGATCCAATTTTCTCAAAATGAATGTGAGATGAGAACTACCTGCAATTTTCACAAGAAGGAAGGAAAGCAGTCAATCACTACTTTCTCTTGCTTATTTGATAGTTACTGTGAAATTCTCGTTTCATGACTATGTTACTTATTAGTAAACAGAGTTCATTCCTTTTTCTTGTATCTCATGTGCACTGCTATTGAGTCCTGAACCGGGACGAAATGGCTGGCCAGTGCTTCAAGGTTTCTAATGCTGGTCTAACAATGGTTCATTCATAATTTTATTGATAAACAACAATCCCTATAACTCAATGATGAAAAGTTGTTTCTCATTGGTTGGAATAATTATCGACAAACTGGCTATGTTCTTTTTTTGGTTGAAACATAATTCGCATAGATAGCTATTATTCTGAACCCGTCATTTTTACGTTGGGTTGTTTTACAATTTACTGTTGTTGTTGATTTATCACTATGACTGTAGGCTTAGATTGAGCTAATTACGATTTATTGTAGAATCAGACTTGTATTATTCGTATAAAATATATATATAGTTAGACCACCATTAGAAACGTGGAAGTACTGGACGGTCGTTTCGTCCTGATAGTGACTCATCAGCAGTGCGCATCCACGACTCCTGCACCTCGCAAGATTTCACTGTGTAAAAGCACTAATCTCCATAACTCTAAATGAAAATATTTATTGTTCCTAGTAACCAAGGCAATCTTCTGGTTTGACACTGGGTATGAGTATCTTTTTTTCTGTAGGACGGTGGTTTTATTTAACTGATGGCTAGTACTTGGTTAGAATAAATTTTTTTTGTATAACTTATTGTTTTGCCATATATACAGGAAGAAAAAGTTCAGAGAATACTTTCAAAATGTTGTCCACAACAGAATGTGATTATTTCTGAAAATACATGTACGTCGACATGAAATTCGACAAACCGAATGAGTACGTTTAAGTAAACTAAATATTTGTTTGCAAGTTTTTACTCAATTGAGACAAAATTACTTTCAATAATCTGGAAACTCTTTTTCTAACAAAAAAAATATCCTTGAGCTGTTGTGGTCTTTGAATTAAATGATTTGTTTGTGAAGTTTGGAAAATATCAGCACGTACTCTAAAGAGAAGTAAGATATTAGAATTCCCCCCCACAACTGACTAACAATTTGTTCTGTTGATCTAGAATTTGGTTGGTTGTTATGCACAAATGTGTGATCACTGATTAAATGTTTGTTTTCTCTGGTGACCTGAACGTTCACCTTGTGTAGGTGTTAATACTTTTGATATTAACTCTTAATACTAGTAAGGACTGGTCATTTATGGCTTAGATTATTTATTTCCAAAAGGTTGACTTGTAAATTATATCGTTAATTTGAATCCTATATAATGTTTTGTAACAATATGTCTGTTTTGAGAGTTTCCCTTACTGCAACGTAAATAGCATTACTCTCTTATCAAATATAAAGCGACTTTTTATATAAATGTAAAACAAGTGAACGCTCATAAAATCGATATTATTGATACAGAAAAAAAGAATTATTGGATAATCTATAATGTTCATAAGATTTCATGAAAAGTGTTAGTTAGACACTATTAAAATACTTAGAGATTTCTATTCTTATATATATATATATATATATATATATATATATATATATATATATATTCTGGTTTAAATCAAGTGCAAACTTTAATTGTTTGTGAACAAAATTCTTTTCAAGAATAGTTATCACACAATAATCAAACATTAATCCTTTTAAAGAAATTAGAATGTGTTGTATCCTTCGAGATTAAACTTTCATTATGATGTACACGGGATTGTACTACTTTAAGTTAATCCGCATCAATATCAAATTTTTCTTACGCTTCGCCTTCTTCCTGTATTTTACCTGTTGATTGTTGAAATGTTTTAAGTCAGCTGTTTTTATCGAATCATAAATGGAACTAGTCACATTGAAGCATATTGGTCTTTCTTTAGTTAACAAGTAGCGTAGACTGACTGACTGACAAGAAACTCAAATAAATAAACAGACTCGTTTGAAAATAAATAAAAAACTTCACAAACTAAACAGATTATCCGATATTCCGTTTATAATTTTTCTAGCGAGAATAATCAATTGGAAATGAAGTTTCCAATGATTCTATTATGCGTTTGTCTTTGTTCTATGTTCAATGATATTAGTGAAATATGTGATTTAATAGACTGACAGAGAGATACAACGCAGAACTTCGTACATAAGTACATCAGTTCAAGTTGTCATACAACATTAGCACAGAGACGCAAGTGCCGGTTCAAATCCAATAGTGGTAGCGATATCAGAAGTATTAGCAGTAATGGAGAGGATAAGGGTATTATTCAGTGAGATAAATTTAGGAGGAGAAGGACAGAGATTATGAGGAATTCAGAAGGTTAGAATTAGACAGAACACAAAGAGTGGATGCACCTGCGCCATTGCAAACGATTTTGAGCCATGTTGTTCAAGGTCTCTAACGTGATTTAATAGTTTAAGTATAAACATTGTCAAAAAAAATATTTTAAAATGATCCTTCAGCTAAGTGTCCCAGTTTGAACTATGTTAATAACAGTAATTAGGCATAATTATAAATTAGGATCTATGATAATGGCTCAATATAAAAGCCTTTTGAAAGATTGAAAATAAATCATTAAAAATATTTAACCTACAGATGTTTAATATTTTACTATGTAAAGTGTATACCTTATTTTATAAGACAGAAAACCAAATCTATAAATTAAAGCTTTTTGTACAGTAAGTAAGTATCGTTCTATTTGGGATAAGTCATTTTGATATACATGCCTCCGAATTTTAGCATTAAAATCAAGGAATCGGACCCTAGTACCAGCCGATTCGAACACCAAATCATTTTGACTAGGTTTATATATCACGAAATAGTCAATTCCTTCATCAGTTATGATATTTATAGTCCAATGCAGTTTCTAATACTAACAACTACAAAGGAAGTTTTTACAATTACTAATGAGAAATATAGATTGAATGGATAATCCCTCAATATTTTCTTATTTCAAAAGGCATTGAGAATATGTACATCATATTTGTTACGGATAGACATCAGTTGAGGTGTAATTGAAAACCAGGGAGCATAAGACAGTTGTTTCATCTTAGTAAGAGACTGAAAGCAATGCCAACTTCAAACTACAGAAGAAATCTGACCTAAAACCTCCAGGTTTCTAAGTGAGTGCACCATGCCTAAGACTATACTGAGTTCAAATTATCTACAGATTGAAAGAATTCCCCAATCAACTAAACAAACAATTATTATTACTGTTAGTGGTATAGATATGTACATGTGTACACTACTAAGGACAATAATTACAGTGAAATGATGTTCTAAGAGCAAAAACAAACAGGCTCTTGAATCGTATTGAGACCCTTTTGATTTGACGATTATCATGGGAGTAAATGTATTACTTCGATCACTACTGATTAGTTCCCAAATATTACCTGTAGGACTGGTGAACTTCTTATCGAATAACACTATGATCTTTCAACAACAATCAAGACCCATAAGCCTATCGGTACTCGAGCCCTTTCCCGCCTTGTATCTAATCAGAAGACAAAGACATTGAACAAATTGATTCAACCATGACTGAATACTCATAAAATATTACCTTCCCGATATCTGACCACACAGGTATGCACAACTCGGTTATAAATAATACAAAAACTAATTGATGAGGAAATAATTAGTTTATGATAAATCTGAAATAATGAGATTCATTAAAGTTGTTCATGAGTTCAACCGAAGGCTTACGAATATAGTATAACATAAAAACTTAATAATCCAAACATCTAATAATTTTCAATTAGAGTTATGGAGATTAGTGTTTTTACACATTTGAAATCATTAATCAGTGATTGTTAGACCACCAATGGAAACCTGGAAGCACTGGACGGCAGTTTGGTCCTGGTATGAGACTCATCAGCAGTGCGCACCCACGGCTCCTACACCTCGCGGGATTCGAACCCGGGACCTTCGGCCTCGTGTGCCCTACAGCCAGTGGCCCAGAGATTAGGTGTTCGCGCACAAGACCGAAGGTCCCAGGTTCGAATCTTGCGAGGTGCAGGAGTCGGGTGCGCACTGCTGATGAGTCCCATACCAAGACAAGACAGCCTTCCAGGTTTCCATTGGTGGTCTAACAATGATTGACTGATTTCAAACATCTAATAATTATATAGTAAAAATATAATCAATAATTACGCATGGGGTAGTCCTGAACGTTCAGTCTTACACAAATTTTCTTAGGCATAACTGTAAATAAATAGCATATGACCAAATTTATCATCTAATAAACATTTAACTACTTCAGAATTATTCGGGAAGTATATCGTTAATTGCATATTTATATCATCAACTTCCATTAGTAGTTCCCTTAACAAGAGAATCTTTAGCATGTATTTAGAATGATTTGACTTGAAATGACAAGCACGCATATAGTATATAACACTAATTAACTAAGATATGATGAATTTGTTCTGTGAGCTAACTAAACTATGTTAGATACAACGTTAATATAATTTATTGAGTAAGAACGGATGATATCAAACGCCTCATCACAACTTACCACTTAAAAATCTCACATTACAATGACCACGTCCTAGCAATACATTACTGTTTCTGATTAAGCTGTCCTAATATTTTCACTCATTCAAGTAAAATTCGATTATATTTTAATCGTTTTGTTTTTCTTGTAGATAGTCTCTTCTAACTAGAATAATGTGTGGCGATTGGACATTGAAAGAATCAAACTGCAAAGTACAAACAACTAATGGTTTGATGTATGTTGTTTACTACTTGCACAAACGAACTTATTTTGTGTACAGTTCATTAGAATAATAATGATAAATCATTTTTAAATATGAAGTACGGTATCTCCTTATAATTCCTAGACTGAACAAGGAGGATGGTTTCATTTCGTGTCATGTACTGTAATAGATGGCTAACCAATGACTAATGTATCACATGCGAACCCAACTTAGACCTACACTATCAGCCTGAATAACGCGTATATGCCAACATAAACACTTTATTTACGCTTATTGCCACAAATACCGTTTTTGATTAAGATGAGTGACATTGAAGAAAATGTATTATGTAAAACAAGATTCATGCGATTTCTTGTTCGTGAAATTCAACACAACTAATGAAACCTTGATTACACATATCATCGAAGGTTATCTGTTTTTTTTGCCTAGTGAATGGATTGTTCAAACGCTAACTCTACAAATGACATCAACCTAACGCTACATAACGATATACAAGATATAATATTTCAACATACCACACTGAATAAGCTGATATTTGTAAAAAAAGATTTTATTCTATCTACAAAAGACAATATTATTGTACAACTTGTCTGAAAATATCATCTCTGTTAGGGATGGTCTAGTAAAATATGAAGTAACGAAATGAGAAAAAAAAGCAAAGGTCATAGAAGAGAAGAGTTTTGGACTGGAAACAGTAAAAAAAATTCAAGTTGTATAACTAAGAACAGCATTTTAAAAGGTATCTATTGACAACGCATAGTAGTAATGAGGTAGGAGGACTAAAGAGAAAAGTTGGCTACAATTATTGTGAACATTGAAGAAGAGTAACCTTGTTACGTCACTGAAATACATTAACAATTCTAATCATTTACAAATATAAACCACTTTAAAATACATTGTCATATGGAAAATCTTCATAGCAAACAACTCAACTCAAGAAATAAAAATGAACATATTTCTAGACTGGTAAATGATGCTTCATTTTGAAATCATTAATTTGTTCACGATACACAGCAATTTTCAAACCTAACTGGTCAATTTGATTGACAATGTCATTAGCTTGTAGTAATAATGACTGATTTACAGATTCTGGTTTTTTCAGCATTAAATTAACAATGGCTAATTGTATCAATGAATGGATTAGTGTAGATACAACTTCATGTATTTCATGTTGTTTTGATAAGTCAGACTGCAGTTCATTATCATTGGAGTATTTATCAATGATTGATTGATACTTGGTTTGACTTGTTTGAATAACTTGTTCAAGAATACGTTGAGATTCTACAAATCTATTTAGATCCGCTTGAATAGCACTGATATCAATTAATAAATTTAAACAATTCGGATGATCTAAAGGATAAATTTGACTGGCTACATCATAAGCTCGTTGAGCATAAACTAAAGCTTCGGTTTGTCGTTGATTTGCATAGAGAAATCTGTCAATTAAAAATTAATAAATAGTCAAATAGTAGTTAAATGCAAATTTTCGGTAGTTAAGAATAATTATCGAGTTCTTAAATGACTTTGATCAGCACCGTAGTTTCTGAGTACACTAGTTTGTGAATGGATACGCTGGGCTAATCAAACGTAGGCTAAATGATGAGTGCATGGTATTTTCAAACATTTGACTTTACTTTCTATGGAAAGAGGCACATACATCACTGACTGAAAATGTAGAAGTGCATAGAAAACTTTTACATTAGCATCAGAATTACAGGGCTATACAACATTCGTTTATAAATTAGAATTGTATACTTTCTGTTTACTTTTGAAAATGTTTTTCGATAAAGGCTACTTAGTGCCTATATTTCTAATTTTTTGATTGAAAGGAAAGTTATCTTAACATTCAGTTGAATTTTTCGCTGAACTCAGTTCAGTGAAGATGTAAATTGTCAAACTATGGTAATATTTATAAAATTTGATTTTAACTCAGTGATCAAATAGCATTAAGCTTATCACGAGACACCTATCGATACTAGTTCTTATCTCATGAATGTAAACAGTTAGATAGGAGTCGAGTTTAAGGAAAATGGCTTTCGATGTCCGTTTGGTCTTTATGACGTTTTCGATTGATGCTAATTAGTTAAAAACTCGGTTTGTAATTTAAGAATATTCTAAATTCATACTTGTTCACTGCAGAAAAAGAACATATTGTGTTACAGAGTACACAGCTCGCACGTCAACCAATCATTTAATGTTATATGAACCCTATTGTTCTAAAGTATGAACAATGTATGCATGACTGAAGTTTCATTGTAATATATGCTTGAAGAATAAGATAAAATGAATCCCATGTTGTTCACTGAACACCAATAAAATACTATTTTAAAGACAATGTGCAGAAATTTGAGAATATTGCGTGAATATACTTTTGTTTGTTCATCAAATTTAAATACGTCCGTTGTAAAAACGAAACATTATTAATTTCAATCGATAAATTTAGAAAAGCGATTTCTAATACTTTAATATTTGAAACGAGACAATCATGAATGTTAGACGAACAAAACTTTATATTGATGATAAACGTCACTAGTAGTGTAATATCTATCACAAACCTGACATTTAAACACAAGAAAAGTTAGTCAACAATGACAACTCAATGATTCATAGCGAGGAAATTAATCCTCCCAAATCTAGATAATTAGTGTTCCTGTTCATTTGAAACCAGAATTAGTAAATTAGGCACATAGTTTAGTTTAAAGATTTACATAACAAATTTAAACGAATTCTAGATGTTATTCATATGAATACGAGTATTACCCAGTAAATAGCTTTTAAAATTGATTAAGCTAAAGGATGCAATCGAAGTCACTGTTGAAGATTTTAATTACTCATTAAACATTTCCGAGGATAATTTAATTCATATTATCATTATGGAAAAAATCGTTGAAGAAAACTGTAACAAATTACATCGAACTTGACTAAGTTGGGTGATCAGGTGACTATTTTTTATTTGATTGTAGTTTTGAAAAAAAAAAACCGTAGAGCTTACTTGGCAAAATAATTACAACACATCGCTAGTAAAGCTTTCTCATTCATATAATCCATGTTTTCATCCTTATTTGTCAACTTTTTCTCTTGGTTTTCTATACAAAATCGAAAACCAGTCTCAGCATCGTCTAATCTACCAGACTTTTCAAAAAGCATAGACATTTTAAGCGATAGTTCAATAAACATTGCATCGTTTGGTGATATTTGAGCTGTTAAACAATCTTGCATTGTCTGTTTAATTAATTTTTCTGCATTTGAATGATTACCCATGAGTAGATTTAGATTGGCCATTTCAGAACATATTCGTGCACGTTTATTGACGTATTCAAGATCGGTGAACTCCTTATTTTGATAGGATTGATTGATAAAGTATAATAGTTCATGTAGTTTATCATTCGCTGCATTGAATTGACCCGTAGCTATAAGAAACAAGGAATCACTGAATAGCTGTCGACATTGTTCGTGTACATCTTTCTTTTTCCATAATTCAAATGGCCACCAAGCAAATGGTATGGTAAAAGATAAAGTTTTGGTAAATGTTGGTACAACTCGATGATTAGATTGAGTATACAATAAACTGAGGTATAGAAACAAACAAGTTTTAAAATTAAAATAATCAGTGTTTAACTATTCGAACAGTATCGAAAATTTATCAGAGGTTAGTGACTATGGTATTTTTCAATAATGCAGTGTAAACATGGCTAACAAACTATTCGTTCGTGAGTAAAGTTACTTGCTATTCGTTACATCGAAGCTTAATGATTAAAAGTATTAAACTGAAGATCTGACACAAAAAATATTAGGATAAAGTAGCAGTAAGACTATCTCTATAGACAGCCAGCAACTCAAACAATACTGTCTATTCACAACGAAAAAAGTGATCTGGAAGGGTCGGGACGAAAAACGGGACGGCTTATTCCTGATGCAAGTGGTGGGGCCCAAATGGTAAGAAGCTAAGGCATCAAGGTAAATATCCCTTGAACGTTGAGAATACGACCTGCGTATTATAAAGCATTCCCCTCCAATAAAAATGCAAATGTTTCATTTACCTAAATAAGAATGACCGCTGAGTTCTGTAGAGTTATCCAGCAAGTTCTTACATCAAAAGCAACAGCTGTTTGCAACTTTATGTAGATGTGACAGTAAAAGAGTGATGGTTTAATGGTAAAACGCCCCCTTTACACCAGTAGGCAACAGTTTGGAATATTTTCTTACCTACTCCTGTCTAGGGGATCAAGTAATATTACTAGTGTTTTACACAGCTACATACAAAAGCCGTCAATTACTTAACAAGGCACACGAAATCTAAAGATCAAACTATAATTATCATAACATACAGATAGGAAAACTGTCATAGTACTTCTAAGATAAGCAATAAACTGACATTAGTTACAACGTTTTATTAGCCTTTTTTATTTATCTAATGAAATTTCAAAACCAGAGTTCATTTGAATATACTCCTACATTTGTAAAATTAGAAACAAATCCAAGGAATGATATGAAATAACGTAAGTATTATTAACGAAATAATGTTTAGGCTGAAAATAAAGACAAAAAATTCCATTTGTAAACTAGTTTGACACACCTGAAGACTCGGTAATGGTGAAACCTCGTAAACCATAAAATATACTTTAACATAATAAACTTATAGGCAGCCAAAATTCATTTTACCATTTTTATCTTCGATTCACCTGCAAGTATTTAAAAAAAAGAACATTTAAAAATCTCATGGTTAAACAGCCTCAACTGATATTTGTATCTAGATTTTGAAAATTAAATGATCAATTTCATTTACAATTAGTGTGAAATCAATTTAGAACGGGTTCAATCAAGAAGCGTATAAACCAGAAAGAGTTTGAACAGGATATAAAATGCAACCGAGAAAATAAACTACATCAAAGCAAGAAACTTTTAGTGTATGAAAACCCGTGAGTATATATGTCTATCAATCAATCAAGCAATCAATAGCACCGTAGAACTTCGTACGTACGATAGTTCAAGTTGCCATACCACATTAGCACAGAGATGTAATTGTCAATTCAAATCCCGTAGTAGTAGATGTAGTAGAAGTATAAGCAGTAATCGAAGAGATCAGGGTTCGAAGATACTGTTCCGGAAGAAAGAAAAAGGTTATGAGGAATTCAGAAGATTAGGATTTGAAAGAATACAAAGAATGAATGCACCTGAACCATTGCAAACGGTTTTAAGCCACGTCATTCGGGGTCTCTAACCATCGATTACTATCATCTACCGGACCCAAACCAGGTAGTCGACGCCTACCGACATAACTCGGTCCACTTGTCAGTGACTTCATGGATTTCTGCCATGTTTTGGACTGGTCGCCCCTAGCTTTCGTCCAACCTATTCCTACATCGCAAAACATAGCTCGACGATACAGTTGGGGTTAGACATACTTGGTTGATCTTAAAACTATCTTCGTGTAATTCAGCAATAAAAAACGTAGAATTCCGCATCATATGTTGTACGGCTACTAGCGTTTTATGACAGAAATTAAATTAAAAAATTTCAGTACTGGGGATTTCTGATAAAACTAGTGTATTTAATCTTATTGAGGAACTAGGCCAATAATTTGGTGAACATACAGCCACACATTAACGCACTTAGGCTGCATCTTCACAGAGGGGTTTTCTAAATGACAACCAATCAATCTTGGCTCTATTATTAAAAAGTGACCAAACTGTCCTAAGCACTAGTTTTATTTGCGAAATTTAATTAAAACCTCCTCCTGATGACACTCATTGGAGTTTCAAAAGTTCGGATGTTAGTTACGATGTAAAACCTATAGCAGGTGAGCTAGGAAGGCCATTGTCAGTGTGATGTGGTTGCTCATTGGGTTTTTTTAAATGCACACAGTCTCAAACGCTGTAAATCAGTCTGTCCCACAAACGGTCCCTAAAAGTTGCAAGCAACCTAGGATCATGTGGAATTACACCCTCTAAATTCTCAGAACAAAACAATATTACTGGGTGGAATTCAAACAAACTGACAACAGTATATACGAGCAGTTCAAAAAAGCTGGGAACCAATGCATGGAGGCTTGACGAGACGACATGCACTAGTCCTAGTCGGGTCTCACAGAACAGTAATAGAACTTCTACCTCGCTTAACTTACGCTAACTGATAGCAGAACTTTTCACCTAAATTTTCGGTTTATTCGGCCTCATTTAGAGTACGTAAATATAATATCTCTTCCACTCCAAAAGGAAAATACTCTGAAACGTTTCTGAAGGAGCGTCAAGGAATCATTTCGGAGACTTTGATTCAGGCCCTATAAAAAAGCCCTTAAATCGATCTTAACCTATCAGAGTATAGGTTACTTAATGATGAATTTTTAACGACCTATAGGTTCCCAAACACTCCTGATCACCCTTTAACATGCCTATTTAAGTTTAATTTAAAACTAACCTTAGGCGAGGTACTCAGAAATGGAGTGTACAATGCAGGAAACCGGACTGTAGTTACACTTACATCAGTAGTCAAATCATGGAATCCACTACAAACTCAGGTGGTCCAAGCAAATTACGAGAAATTTTCAAGAGGCGACTTTAAATATTCTTGAGAAATCAAAACAATGTACTGTACTAATGTACTCATACTTCTGTTTGTTTCAGATGACTAGATTCCCACCAAGAAGCATCGGTAAACGACTAGATACATAAGCTTGTTTGGCAAAAGCTTTTCCGGTCCCATCCACAACCATTTGGACAAGCGAATTTCGCATAATAAGTTTCTCGTCTATTATTGATCTCTCTTAAATTTCCAAACTGGCTAATATGTCAAATTTGCCCGGTGGTGAAGTCCAAATATATTGATACTCTTTTTGAGGGTAATAAATCGTATAGTTATCTCTGTTGCTTCAAGATTAGCCGAAAGGGTGGTTTCATCGTAAATTAGTGCTAAAGTAGACTTACTGACTAATACATTTTGATTGCCAACCTAAATTAAAATTAATAGAGTGACTAAACAGAAATGGAGAATCTAACAGTTTGTTTGCAGCACTAGAGTGAAAGCAGACTTTAGAGACGATCTGAAGACAACGATGACAAATTTCAAACAAGTTCTTAGTTCGTAGTCGTAAAACAACGCTTATAAATGGATAGTTTATGGAAAACAAACATACTAATCTATTTTAAGGAAACAACAAAAAGGGGACTATCTGATTAGTTCATCTACCAAATTTGATGCCAACAAACGAAGGTTATAATCTAGAAACTATGGTTTCGTGATTAAATGCTTATGGATGGAAACTAAGAAGTGTTAATCTGCCAGTTATACACTATCTAAAGAGAGGGAATCATACATTTATTATTATCGTCTTGACTATATTTATAAACAATCCCGGACATTTGGAGAAGTATGCAAAGACGCTTTTACTCGATAACGATCTACAGGCAATGATTAGTGATAGAGGTTTTGGGGCACTTAAAGGTTATTCTGTTATAAAACGATTATTACGCCAACACAACTTACAAGTTTTTGCAGAAGCGGTTTATTCAAGACAATTACAAACATGAGTTTTGTTAAGTCTAGCAATGTTTGACAAATTTCATCCTTCAAGTTGTTGAAGCGATGCCATAATAATCACTTATGATAACGGAGGAATATTCAGTGGCATAAGTTGTCTCAGCGATTTAACAGTTGTGGTAATTTTGAGACGCGCTAGAAAGAGGTACACAAGCCAATAGGTATTCTATGATTACCAATTGTTCATACAGTATCTGTAAACTAAATGCTACATATCGGAAGGTAAAAAGGCGGGAATGACCCAACTATGAGGTATTTCCCGCTGCTCATTATGCACACTTAATATTTACGCGAATCCAATATCTTTTTCTTTGCGTTCGATTCTTTTACTTTCGGAACGCTTCCAAATATACTTTAGTTGCAATAATGGTTTCAGCTGACCAGTCCCTTTTAGCGCTGCGTATCCAGCCAAAAGGTACATTGACAACAACGAAAGCATGCAGAGTTGCGACTGTTGAAAACTGGAAGAGGCTTAAAGGTTGGCCAACCACCAAACAAGCGCGTGAATGGGCTTAAATTTGAGAAGGCAAGCAATAGAAAACAGTCAAAAATAACAAAAGCCTGAAATAGAGCAACTCAAAAATTGAAACTGGAGGCGCATAGTATAAACCACTAAACGCCACAAGTACATATTTTTATGCCAATGTATTCAGTTACGTCAGCCTCAAATCATCCACTCGGAAAACTGCCCAAAATACAATATATTTGTCCAATATCCAATATCTTTTTCACGAGCTAGTGTAAACCAATTTGATTTCTTCGCGCTCGATTCTTGTTCTTTCGGTACGGTTCCAGGTGTTCGGTAATGTCCAATGGATGGAGGTCTAGCCACTCGACTGTCTAATTCTAGTCAGTTGGTTGTGAGTTTGTATGTCTCGGGATTTGAATGAAACGTTTGTTTCAGGGCAGTAGGGTTTCTGGATACTAGCAGCCGTCACATTACCAAACCGGAGATCAGTTAGTTGCAATGTGGAGAGTAATAAGGGTAATAAGGGTAAATTAGAATGATAATATGAGTAAAATTTCAGAACTGAGTAATATATAGATGAATTTAGTTTATTAATTGGTAGTGAAGATTGTGAGAGAGGACCGAAGTGTAAGCAAGGGAGAGGAATAGGCGAGTTAAATTAATTAAGTGATCTGAGGAGATGGCAATGGTAACAACTAGCAGGTCTCAAGATATGCATCAGGCACAGCTTATCCAAGAGGGAGATGATAGTCCGCATGTGAGTACGTGATTATCAAGTCTCTTCTTAAAGCAGTCCACTGAGGGGGCTGTAACTACCTCGGCTGGGAGAGCATTCCAAGTTGCGACGACTCGCAATGAGAAAAAGTGTGCACGAACCTGAGTGTTTGCTCTTTGATGTGCAATCCTTTGAGGATTGCCTCGAGGGGAGTGGTGGTGATGCATCGGTAAGATGCTCACATTGGGATGGTTGGGCGTGTTTAATATGGTGTACGCCATAATCAGGTCACCTCTGATTCTCCTGTAGCTCAGTGGGAATAATCCCAAGAGCTGGAGTCTATCGTCGTGCGGTTTATTTTTCAACCCTATCACCCATTTCGTTGCTCGTCTCTGCACTCGATCCAAGAGATTAATGTCTCTTTTAAGCAGAGGGGGTGCGATGACGTTGTGAACCTCCAAGTGTGGGCGCGCGTACGTCTTAAAGAGGGTTAAAAATAATTTCGGGGTTATAGCACCAAGCTGTCTTCGCATAAAGTGAAGAGTCGCATTTGCCTTGGCTGCATCCCCTACATAGTTCGGACTCGTGTGGAGGCTTTCTGTGGTTATTAAACCAAGATCGCGCTCTGAGGAGACATTAGGGAGCGGACTTCCATTGAGAGTGTAGGTGGTTTGCGTCATATGAGGCAGGAAATGCATGACATGGCACTTTGGTTGGTTGAGTTTTAAACCGTTTTTCACTGCCCATTTCTCAATGGATGTAAGGTCCTTTTGAAGCTCAGTCGGATCCTCTTCGCTTTTAATGGACCTCCAGATCTTCGCATCGTCTGCGTAGATCAGTGCCGGTGAGCTAACTAAGCTTAGCAGGTCGTTAATGAATATCAGGAAGAGGAGTGGGCCTAGGATGGTCCCCTGTGAAACTCCTGAAGTGGATACTCTCCAACTCGCGTGCACCCTGTTTACCTTGGTGCGAAACTTTCTATTCTCAAGGTAGTTTCTGAGCCAAGATACGAGTGGGTCAGTGAAGCCCATTTCCACAACCTTTTCGATTAGGCGTGCGTGGGGCACTGTGTCAAAGGCTTTTGCGAAGTCGAGAAATACTACGTGCACTGGTATTTTACGGTCCAAGCAGGATGTCCAACTGTCCCATGCGATGAGAAGATTAGATGCACACGACCTGCCTTTCCGAAACCCATGTTGAGCTTCATGGAGTATTTTATTCTTGTCCATGTACTCCCTCATTTGTTCGTCCACTAGCCCTTCCATAACCTTTGATAATATAGGTAGTAGTGCGACTGGTCTGTAACAGGCTGGGTCCTTTCTATCTCCTCCTTTGAAGATTGGAGTGAGAGTAGCTTGTTTCCATTCCGCTGGGAATTGGTGTGACTCCAGTGAATGCCTGAACAGGTTGCATAACGGTGAACAGAGGGCTTCAGCGCACTGTTGCAAGACTATAGGGCGGATGTTGTCACAACCTGGTGACTTACCTGGGCGTAAGGATTTTAGTTTCCTTAATACTAGGTCAGAAGTGATACGGATGTTCCCTAAGCCGTCAGCTGGCATTGGGTTGGCGTAATACTCTGAACATGTAGGCGCCTGGTTTAATTGATCAGAAAAATGGGTGTTGAAGATTTCGGCCATCTCTAGGTTGGTGAGGTCTTCTCCGTTAGGCCCTTTTAGGGGGCACAACCCTTGATTAGTAGGTTTTCTTTTGGACATGAACCTAAACAGATGTTTCGGGTTTGCCTCTATTCTGGCGGCTAGTATCGTCTGGAATTGTCTCCTGTCGCTTCGAACTTTGGTATTGCATCTGTTTCTAAATGCCAAGTAAGAACTGCGATCGGAATCCTTCAAGGAGACTTTCCACTTGTGCCAGGCTTTCCTCTTCGCCTGTAGCAAGCGTTCCGTGCCGCGCCTAACCCAGGTTCTTCTGTTCTGGTGTTTTGGGTGTGATTGAGGTACGTTGTCTACGACAGCGTTTTGGATGATATCTCTCACTGCTTGCCAGTGATCATCTACTGTCAGCCTCCGCCACTCCCGTGGCCATGGGGCATGTAGGAGCACCTCTCTCATGCGTGTGTAGTTTGCCCTACTGTAGCAGAGGTAAGGCTCGTTATTGTCCGGTGTCAGCATTTCGTTTGTGACCATGTTAAACAGGACTGTGCCATGGTCACTACTACCTATTGGAGCGCGGATGTTAACATCCTCAACCAGGAGCTGGTCGTTCGTTAACAGATAATCTAGGTTTGAGGACTTCCCTTCCTTAGTCCACCTAGTGGCGCTGCGTACATGCTCAGTCATGCCAGAGCTTCTAATGGCTGTACCAAGTTGTCTTTGGAACCAACCAGTGGGGGTGATACTCTGGTTGCTGAGATTTAAAGATGGGGTATTGAAGTCTCCGGCTAAGAGTATTTGATCAAACCCTAGGAGTGGCAGTTGCAGAATTACGTCAACCAGTTTGCTTTTCTGGGCCCTAGTACCCGAAGGAGGTCGGTAGATCCCTCCAATCAAGTATTTCGTGCCATTTGAGTGGAACCAACACCAACATGATTCTGTCACCTCAGTTAGTTGGGTGTTGTATAGCCGCTCTGCTTTTAAGTGGTTATTTACATATATAGCCACTCCACCTCCAGTTTGGTGTTCCCTATCGCTTCGGAAGATTGTCATGCCTGGCAAGCCCACTTCTGCGTCGGCAATGTCGGGGGATAGCCATGTTTCTGTTAGGATTATGATCTTCAGATCCATCTGAGAGCGCATATTCCTGACTTCTAACAGCTTACCCCTTAGTCCTCTTACGTTGCTAGTGAGGCACTTGGTGGTTTGTCTCTGAACCTGGTGCACATTTGCAGCATCAGCCTTAGTCGGGTTTTCAGACAAGTTATTTAAACCGAGTCGGCCAGTTCTGTGGGAACTGGCCTCTGCAGGTTTTTTGCCTGCGCGGTTGGTTCACTCACATCTCGAGGTAGTTGACCGAGTTTAACTATCAGCTGTGTGCGTTCATTTTGGCCTCCCTGTTGTTGTCTCACAGATCTAGGTCGGCTCTCGCAACATCTGATGTGGCTAGGTAATTCGTTCTTCGAACTGTACCAAGCTTGTAGTGTTTCGGTCAGGTCTTCCCGGTTCCTGAGTGTTACAGCTATCAGGCGTGGTGACTTGATAGACGTAAGGTGTGACGGGCGGGGCAACCTGGAGATGCAGACTGCCATCGGGGTGTGGAGGGATAGGCTACGCGATAGCCATCGCCACTGTTGCACATCGTGCTCGTGTGCTTCGTCCGGGTTACCGTTGGTGAGTTCGGGTATGCCGTGAACTACCATGGTGGTCTGTTCCTGGGTGTCTGGTGCAGTTCTGGCTGCTGCACGTACCGACCATGGCTTGTCATGCCTGATACGAATCAGCGAGGACAATTTGACCGATGGTCTTTGGGACGAAAGGATGATGTCTTCAGCTAGTCGTGCTGAGTCAAGAGTTACCCTCATTGGAGGGGGTTTTCCTTTCGAGACGTTCTGACCTTTGAAAAGGCGACAGATTTTAGTTGGGATACATTTAACCGTATGATGCCTTTGTCCTCTATCCTTGTTAACAATTTGGTATTTCAGGTCTTTCGTATGAAAATAAATAATGTGACCACTCTACTGCAATAGTTCCAGTAAAGGTAAAGGCCGTTTTACCTGAGATTCAGTGACGAAATGTTTAGGTTCCTAATAATTAGTTATATCCGACATCTTTTACACCAACTAGAATAGACCGATTGATTTCTTTGCTCTCGGATCTTTTCCTTTCGGTAAGGTTACAGCTATTTGATAGTGTGGTCGAACTTCAAATGTGACAGCAGATATCACGGATATCCCTTTGTTCTTCACGAAGGTTATCTGTCGTAGATAGACGGTATACCCCCCTTGGTTATGTATTGAGTATCGTCTGCACAGTACCAGCAATTTAACTGGTGCAAGGTTTTTCGGCATCACTTCTATTCAGTGACCGATAATTTATATTGACACCTCCCCCTTTGCTTTGTGTTTAGTACCACATAAAAAGGAATTGATACCCATTTCATAATCTACGGCATCAGATGATAGGCAGTTCTCAGCAAAAGCTAAAAATGTTGTTTGGAAGACCTAGAGGATCACATGTTCCTCGTAATACGCTTCTAAGTAATAGGAGAGAGTTACTGGTAATCCTGATTTAAGGTCCTTATTATGCTGCTTCTTCAATCATAAGTTTCAAATATCGCTTATCACTATGAAAACCGGCAGTGATGTCTTGATATTTACATTGAGGTCCTTATTATCAGCTTATCCAAGTGAACTTCGTGCTGTAGACTTTCAAGATTATCTTTACGTCCTGTACAATAATGATTAGGCTTTGGCACACTATGGTTAAATTTGGTTTATCTTTTCTTATTTTCACTAACATTAATAAGCATAATCCTGCCCAGGCAATATTTTGTAAGAAATGTATATAATCGAGCAGTTGTCACATGTACCTG